CTAGAAGGAGTGTCTAGGCATATACAGATGAAGGTATTTGTTTGGTTAAAAGGCCTAAAAAAGTCCTTGCCCGGCATGTTGAGCCAAGATGGAAGAGCACTGGCCTGTCCATGTAAATTGAGCTAAAACAGTTCCTGTGGCAACAGCAGCTGTTCTGTGGTGGCACGCTGGCACTGTGGTTAGTCTTCCAGGATTCTTCTACAAGTATTTTTTAGGGCTTTTAAGGTTTCTATTGCTTTTTTTTTTTTTTAAAGAATGTAAAATCATTAAAACAAAAATACATTGTGAATGATACTGCATTTCACTAAACAAAATGATAGGAATTCTGCATATTGTGGTCTTTAGATTACTTGTTCAGATTACCAGACATAAGCAGGCCAAATTAATAAAAGAAAATTTAAAAAGAAGAGAAAAAAATGTGAGCATTGATTTCTCCTTTCTATAGACCAGCAGAAATCAGCACTACAGTTGTCCAAGCTATCCTGTGTATATGCATGCATATTTCCTAATTTTAATTGTATCATTCAACTTTACTTACTGTAACAAATACCTGAGATAGTGAACTTACAGAGATTTATTTTGGCTTATGTTCTCGGAGGTTCCAGTGCCTGGGCACAGACAGAGCTGTAGTGGTGGCCTATGACGGCACATGATGGTGGAACCATATAGGAGAACCACTCACCTCATTGGTGGGGAACAAAGAAAAAGGAAGGACCTGGAGTCCCACGTGCTGTCATCCTGCAATGAGCAAAGGCTTAGCGCAGCTGTGACCAAGCTATACCAAAACTTACTGTAGGCTTCTCAGACATTACAGTGTTCTGTCCTTATATGAATAGAATCATATGGTTCCAAAAAAACAAACCCAAAGCACAAAGGGCCAGAGGTGTTGCTCAGAAGCAGAGTGCTTGCCTAACTTTCATGGCATTTTGTGTTTGATTCCCCGTGGAACAAAACAAAAAGAAAAGCAAAAGATGGGGACAGTCTTCTTTAATCTCAAACGCACACCAAAGGCAGCAGAGTATCGCTATCTCTTGCTATTTAGGATGTCAGCACAGAGCTCGTAACCACATATTACACCTGTGACCTTCACCCCAGGCCATATAATATTGTCTATTGTCACTGTTTACACTTAGGAGACTGTGACTCAAGCCCAGAGGAAATGCTCCTCAGCTTTTGCGAAGTGGACACAGATAAGGCAGGTAAGGCTTCCGGCTTTCATTCCATGCCTACCAGAGCACTTCTCCAGGAACCTGCCAAGGAGCCTGGGGCTGCTTTTCTGAAGCTGAGGGCTTTTGACCTGGGTCCTCTGTGTATCAGGCAGAAGAATCAGGCTTCATTCAATTCAGCTGATGCAAAGGGAAGTGAACATGCCAGTTATGCCTGGGTAATTTCTGGGCTTCTTCTTCTTCTTCTTCTTCTTCTTCTTCTTCTTCTTCTTCTTCTTCTTCTTC